TTAAGAAAAACGGATTTTCAAAATCCGTACGTGTGATTTTTGTCCACACTAATTTTTTTTCTTTTATTTTTCGGCACAAATTTTTTTATTTTTTTAATTAAATAAGCTACCCATACATATAACTTACAATATATAATTTGTATTTTTGCATATGCACATGAAAAATACTAACTACACGATTCCCTTAGTCTAAAACCGAAATATAAATGCATTCCAACGACATGATTCAATATCCATCTTTGTCAACTCTCATACTCCAACAAATCTTATATAGGCTAACAAACTTTATTCAGTTCATAATCATCACTAGAAGCAAAACACTAAGAACTACTCAAACCCTTCTTTAAACCGTGACATCGCTTTTTTGACCCGTTCCTTCTCCTCAAGCAAGCCCTTCTCATCGAGTGCTTTAACCAAACCCACATACGAACCATCCGTCGGCACAAGACCCTTATCCACCATCTCCTCGAAAAACGAGCACGCCCTAGCGGCATTCCCATTCCTACACAGCAGGCCGACCAAAAGCGAATAAGTCGTCGGATCAAGACTCACATTGTTTTTAAACATGTAACTCAACAAAAACGTAAGCACCTTCATTCTCCCCAACCTGCAGCACATTTTCAGTAGGGGACCGTATGTATTGAAATTCGGCTTGCATTTATTTTCCTCCATTATCTTAAGCAAAGTAAGTGCCTTCTCCTCTTGACACCTACTGGCCGATATAAAAATCAGCATATTGTAAGTCGACACGTTTGGGTCCACTCCTTGCCTGGACATGGCATCAAAAACCTCGTACGCATCTTCAACTCTGCTCATTCGGCCCAGAATACCAATGAAGGCCGTATATAACGAGGCATCGGGTGGACAGTTGTTTTTCTTCGTTAGTTCGTAAACCTCCATGGCTTTTTTGAATTCCTTTGCTTTTTCATAGGACTTCATCATTATAGTGTACGTCACCACATTGGGATAAATGCCTTCCCTCTCCATTACCGCTAAAGTCGCATCAACCTTACGAAAATCCTTTTCGCAGCAGTAGGTCCTAATGAAGCTCGTGTAGGTAAGCAAGTTCGGCCCAAAGCCGTGGGCCAACATCTCATTCACTGTTTCCTTGGCCTTCCCCATTTGCTTCATTTTGCACCAACCTTGGACCAATATATTAAAAGTCTGTTGAGAAGGGGGAATATTTTCTTTAAATTTGAAATAAGCTTGTTCGCCGTGCTCAACACTCCCCTGATATACTAATGCTTCTATTAATCTATTTAAGGCTGATGTATCCTTTTCGATCCCGAATAATTCCGAATTTTCGAATGCCTCGATTGCATCCTCGTACTTCCTGGCCTTTGCGAGCCGCCTCATGATTTTGGTCATCGTGTCCAAAGTGAAGTACCCTTCTAGATTTTTCATTTCCTCGGCTAAATCCCACATCAGCTCGAATTTTTTCACTTTCCCCAAGTTGTTGACCATTAGATTGTAAATGTTAGGTGGGTGTTTAAACCCGTTTCGCAACTCGACCCACTTGAAAAACCCGAGTGATGGTACCCACTCACTGCTAAATCTACACAGTACTTGCTCGACCAGGTCATTTGACAAATCAACATCACAAGCCTCCAATGCTTTAACGACTGAATCCGGGGATTTGAAATGGCCCGTTAAGATGTTACTTATCTTGTCCACATCACTCTCAAAAATATCATCTCTTTGGGCAGCCGAGTGTTGGTTTTCGATCCAGGAAGACAATGAAGGAGGAACAAAATCTTCATCTTTCAGATTGCTGGCATTTTTGTCCTTAACAGGATAATTAACCCAGCCGGGAAGCTCGGGTTTATCACTAGTCTTAACTGGCTCAGCCGAAGAGGAAAACGGATTGTGGAATAGAGTTGTAATTCTGCAATAGTTATGATTGACATAATCTCGTCTATAGCTATCCAAACATGATCGAGCCCAGTATCGTGATAAAGGATACAAATGCTTCGATTTTGAAAGCATTGTAGGGTTACCTGA